GGAGGAGCTTCAGCTCGGGCCTGCTCCTCGGCGGTATTCACCCCATAGTGGCCGCCCGGACCGGGCTCCGGGGTCGACCCCTCCTCCTGACCTGGGGATGAGGTCGCGTCCACCCTAGCCCTCTTGGCAGTCGTTTTCTTTTTCTTTTTCTTCTCAGCCTCAACAGGCTTAGAGGACTGGGCAGGAGCTGGCTGATGTGGCGGAACTGGTGCTGAGCTGGTTGGGATAGCCGAGGAAGGCTGCGTGGTGGCGCCCTGACTGCTGGCACCTCCAATGGTCAGAAGGGAAGAAAATCTCTTCACTACAAAAACAGAAGATCGGGAGGTCAGTAGATGTATAAATAAAGAAGGGGAAAGAAGAGGAAGGCCGGGTCGTTTACAGGAGGTCAGTTCGTCTGGTGAGAGTGGCCTAGTCTCTAGCGAGGGATCTGAGGGGTTAGCTCGGATCAGCCCCGCCGCCCAAAGCTGGGCATTGCTGAATTCTTTCACTTCCAGCTTCTCGTCTGAGCTGAGTAGGCGGCTGAGCTCGGCTATGGGGAGCGGGTCTGGAAGCGGATCCGAAACCTGAGTCTCCGCCCTCCAGGTCAGAGGGGGAAAGCCCAGGTTCTTCACAAAAAAGAAGTAATGCTTCCAGTCTTTGATGGAGGAAGGTGCCCCCGTGAACAGCTCGCGGGTGGGGGTTTTTGCTCCACTTCTGCGGGCAAAGTAGAACCACCCAGGCACCTTTCCGCTGACCTTCATCTGGAAGAAGGCCTGGAACAGGTCATGAGAAAAGGGAATTTCTAGGGCTCGGCAGAGGATGAAGAAGCCTATGATGGAACGAACACCATTGGGTATGACCTGAGTTATTCGGATACCCCAAAAGGTGAGGATGGAGAAGAAAAAATCAGGGATAGGCAGGCGAAGACCAGCTATCAGCTGGTCCCTGTAGATCGCCACGAACCCTGGAGGAGGTCGGCTGGCGACCTCTCCTGGGAGGGCTGCCCTGGATTCAAAGAGGGCCGGGATTTCGTACTTTTCGACTAGCGAGTCCACATCTTTTTGTTTCAGGGCTGGGGAGATGGTATCGACTTCCCCGAAGCCGCCACTAGGTCTCCCCGAGGTCCCTGCTGCCGTCTGAGCCGGAACTGCTTGTACAGCAGCTCCGACCAGAGGCTGGGCGAGTGGGTTAGCCGGACTCATTGCTCTAATAGGAGACGAGGCAGGAGAACCTGCGAGCTCAGGTCCGGAAGAAGTAGAAGGAGAAGAGCTAGAGGGGTCTGAGGGGCTGCTATCTATGTTTATGGGACTAGCCGCTCTATGCCTAGGGGCTGAACTGGTGACGTCAGAACTATCGGAACTGTATGAAGACATAAAAAAGAAAGGGAACTTACTAGTGAGAGGAGATCGGATGAAAGGCTGATCTAAGGATTGCGCGACCTGACCCTGGGCTTCCTAAGACTGGGCGACCCGACGTGCTCTCGGAGGGAAGAAGATGAAGCAGCGAGCTAAGGATTGAGAGGGTGAACTGACAGAGTGAAGGAAGAGGCGTGAAAATGACACCCAAAGAGTCCTATTTATAGGCAAGCCAGGAAGCGGGAAAGTGAAGAGACGTGCATTTATTGAGCCGTTATGGGGAACCGATCCTAACCATCGTAGCTGGCGGACGTGACGATCGAGGTGACTGATGCGAACCGACGCGACGGTTGTGTGCACCACTCTCTGACAGGGGCCCCACACCGAGCTACCACGACGCACGATCCGGATGTTTGACATGAACCAACGCGACGGTTGCGTGTACCACTTACAGGCGAGGGTCCTACACCGAGCTGACACGACGCCAAAAAGTCGGCTAGACTCACGCGCACGTTCGATGACTCTAGACTAAAGGGGGGGCTAGTGTAGTGGGCCCCAGGCACACATCGGCCCGGTCCGCGCACACGTCATTCCGGCCCACGAGCTCGGACAGGAGGAAGCGGACTGTGGCACCAGGTCAGCCCGCATGAGCGCCGTTTCCCTGGCCGATGGGCTGCGAGGTCCGCGCCTCCAAGTCGCCGCGCGGAGCCCTAGGAACCGTTTCCTCCCCCGATAAGGACTCTTAGTCCTACCAGGAAACAAACACTGGAGGCTCTATAAATACCACGCAAAGGAAGAACACAAGGTACGCTATTCATAGTGCAATCTCTACTCTTTTTACTCACGAACTCGTTCTGACTTGATCGTCGGAGTTGCTCCAGGGGACTTAGCCCCGCAGCTCGTTCACGTGCAGGTCAGACGTCCAAGCAGCTCGTCCCGCCGAACCCAGCTCAGTTCGAATCTTCGCTTCGGCAGTCGCATCGAGTACTATTTTGCCTTTTGAATTGGGGACGAGTGATGACAGGTAAAAAGCAAAACTTGTGCGCTGAGTTGAGCCCACCAAGCATGTGATCGCGACCTGTCAAACGTCAGACGAGTACAGCAGCAAGAAATCTTGAGAACCTGTTCGGTGACTTTCTTGTCCGTGACCCAAAGTATCCGCAACACTAGAAAGGAAAGACAAGGTTCACAAAATTCATCATCATCATCACCTGATCTGAGCCTTCGGAAATTCATTCAATTACGGGTCTATTGCACTCTGCACGCAGGAACTTATTCTCTTCACTCTTCTTCATCCTCCTATATTAATTCACCCCACAAAGAAAGAGCCAAAAAGATCAGACTCGAAATATGGTGAAGGACAGGAAAATAGGGGTGGCAATCGACTTCTCAAAGAGCAGTAAGCTGGCACTGCAATGGGCTATCGAAAATTTGGCTGATAAAGGTGACACCTTCTTCGTCATCCATGTGAACTCTCATCATCTGGACGAGTCTCGCAATCAGCTTTGGTCCCAATCTGGTTCACGTAGGTTTATCTAGTCCTGACATCATCAAACTCTGTTCTAATAAATCTAGCCGATCGATGATACGTATATTTCTCGGAATCTCTATGATCTGTTTAAATCAAATCTGACGTGGGATTACCTGTTCATCTCAGCTCTTATTCCATTAGTTGAGTTCCGGGAGCCGGAGGTGATGAAACAATATGGAGTCAAGACCGATATTGAAGTTCTTGACATGCTTGACACTGCTGCCCGGCAGAAAGAGGTTTGGTTTTCGATATTTCTGCTACGAGGTCTTTTTGCTTGTTGCCTTCTTTAAATACTGTACGACTTCTAATTTTGTGTGCAGATAATCATCGTCTGGAAATTATACTGGGGAGATGCCAGAGAGAAGCTTTGCCAGGCTGTTGAAGATTTGAAGCTGGATTCTGTGGTGATGGGTAGCAGGGGATTGAGCTCCATCCGAAGGTCGTTTCCCATTTCTCTGCCTTTTCCGGTTTCCCTTTCGATTTGTCTTGCTCCTCGTGTTCGTTGGTTTTTTGTCCCGCGTTTGATGTGATTTCTTTTTCATACCCAGGATAATATTGGGAAGCGTGACAGACTATTTGCTTGCCAACGCGACCTGCCCCGTTACTGTGGTAAAGGATCCAGATCTTCACAGGCATTGATTTCAGAAGCGTTAATGAGAAAATCGCTTACTTTGCGTTTATAGTTTGGTAAATCACCTATGAGGATTCATCAACTACCAGAAACTTATTCAGCTTTTTATGATACTTGGGTTGTGGTTTTCAGTTGTTACTGTGGACTGTTGGCAACAATAATACTCCGTATGATACTTTCTTATGCCTAATTGAATCTCCATCCAGTCAGCTTCAGCGTAAATGCCTAATTGAACCTCTAATTTTCTCGGATTGATTAACTTCACACAAGGTACCTTGGGATCATCTGGACTCTATTTCCATACCCTACTGAATTATCTCGCAGCCAGAATGCTATGGCATTGGCAATCACTGAGGTCTTTTGCTCCTCACTTTTGTTCCGGCAAGCTTTACACGGGGCAGGCAAGCACTGAACGTAAGCTACACCATTGGTTGGGTTTTTTTTTTTTGGGGGCCGTACTTCTAGTTTTATGTGGCTCAATCATTTATAGATTCAAAAGAAACCAGGAATTTGAACGAAGGATAATTGATTTCAGCTTATGATCGGAAGAGATGAGGAATAGATGACTGACCCAACATTAGGAAATATCAAGAATGAAACCAAAAACTTACCTTCTCGTGTCTATGAAGTCAGCCCAGAATCATGTCATAATTCTTGAGTAGGTTTCATTGTTGCACTTGAGAAACAGCGGACTCGTAGTCGACGGATCTTCCATTGTGTATTTCTATTTGACGCCTTTAATTTTAAGTTTCAGAGCAAACTCAACTCTCTGAGAACATGGGATAGCCCAGTAACCGCGATCTTTGCAGCTCTTGACAATTGAGTTCTTACTTCTTACCTCTGCTGCTTTGCATTTCCTTGGTCGATCGTGTTTCTGTTCTGGCTGCTTGTCTTTTTTTAATATCGGATCTAGCCAAGCATTGACGAGATAATACTACGAGTGCATTTGTTTCAGATCAGCTTTTATTAATCTGTAGTATATGCTTAATAGGGCAACAAGAACTTCATCACAAAGCTCTTAATGCTAGCGAAGTACCAAGGTGACAAGAATGATGAAAGTGAAACTGAAGAAAAGGGAATGCTTATTTAAAGCACATAATAATTATTTAGGAGTCGATCTGGGCCATCATCAATTATGCGGACCGAAAGCAGTTTGATGTCGGAAGGCAGAGAGTCCTCTATATAGGGTAGCTGCAGCTGACCAACACTTCCGCCCAATTCCATAAGTTGGGAAAACCTTTCTTTGGTCAGCAAGTTTATTCCCAGAAATTCTTGAGTCACTCTGAGCCAACATGCGATTAAACTGGATGCAATAGCAAAACTTATACATCTCATACAGGAAGGAAAAGAGAACCCAATGGGATCAAATTTGGATTTCAACGTGGAACTTAAATTGATGGGACATGCTCAAAAATCAACATTTATTTATTTAAAAAATTTTTTTTTAAGGTAAAAGGTCCTCCTAATGGAGAGAATTACTGTAAATTATTAACCAATACTCGCGGACAGGTAATATTTACAGCCTCCTTCATTCATCCGTAGAGCAAGTCAAATATGATGATCTCATACATGGGTGCTGATTTTGTTTTTATCACATGGAGCGAGAAATACTTGCAAGCCCCCACAAGGTGAAATTAGAAACCCCAATATACGAGGGGATAAAAACTTGCATGAAAATTGAAACTCCTGCAAATTACACGGTTCAACTTTTATTAGTACACCAATACGAGGAAGGGAAGGCTGCATGATTGAACAAGGAAAGCAAAAGATCGGCGACTTTTGTTTGGTTCATGATCTAGTGGTGGAGAGAAAGTTCATTTAGCAGCCGCCGGGGGGTGGAATTGAAGCTGCAGACGAGACTGGAAAGAGGAAACTAGAGTTTTCCCCATGTAAGCAGGGGGAAAGTTGGCTATTAGCTTGTCTTGTGGAGGCAGACATTTCTTGACGGGGCTACAATTAGCGAAGTTTTCGGCCCATTCCCACAGCTTTGGAAAATTGTCTTCGGTGAAGACATCTAATTTGAGGGCTTCTTGGATGGTCCTAAACGAAAAGCCGATGAAATTGGCCACAATGTCCACCATCCCAATGCTATCTCCTCCGAAGAATCTCTTGCCCCCAAGCTCGTTTTCTAGAACTTTCAGGCGTTCAAGGGCTTCTGCCTTATTCTGCTCATATTGCTCGCTCGTGCTCCAAATGGTCTTCCATAGCGCGGGAAAGCACTGTCGTAAACAAAACATATTAAGCCAATATGAAACATTAAGAGAATTTCAGTGCTCCAAAGATTCGATACCATGAATTGGTGACACTGAAAACTTTTACCTTCTGGTCGACAAAATTGGCCCAGAAACGTGCCCTGGCTTTTTCAAATGGATCTTCAGGCAATATTGGATTATTCTTCCAGGTCTCATCAATGTATTCAAGAATCACCATGGATTCGACAATGGGTTTCCCGTTGTGAAGCAGAACCGGAATTTTTTTGTAAACAGGGTTGTACTGCAGAAGCTGAGGACTTTTGTTGGTAAGATCTTCCTCTATGTATTCATACTGGATGCCTTTAATATTAAGAGCGATCTCAACACTGCGACAAAATGGGCTTACCCAATAACCAAACAGCTTCACTTCCTCCATCTTCGATCCACGGGAACTCATGAATTACTGAGCTTCAGAGTTTGCCTCCAGTGGTTATAGTAAGGCTGTACAGTTTTCAATGGTCTTGATCGGTCACCTGGCATTGCAATTTCTTATATAGGGGAACATCACGAGAATTTTCAAAAGCACCAAGGAAAAAAAGAGACTAATTGTAGCATTCTCATTTCAGCCACCAATAAAAAAGAAATAGAGAAAGAAAGAAAGAAATTCTCATTTTCGACCATTGTGCCTTTGCAGACAAAGTCCTGCAAAAGCATATTAGTTGCACATGTAAGTACATGATTAGACAAAGTGTGCTGTCCATATACTGTTGATTACGTCTCCACAAATACGCAGTTGCATTCGCATGCTGTCCATTTTTTATATGTCGGTTTTATTGTTAAAATTTTATTTTGTTAATTTGTACAATATTGCAATTTTGCTTTCTGAGAAGACGACAAAATTGTGGTCAGAACGTCCAGAAATTGGATTTAGGGATAATTTCAGAAACCTCCCCTGAGGTTTTTGACAATTTCACTGAGCTCCCCTGAAGTTTGAAAAATTATACATATCTCCCTTGATTTGATAGTTTTAGCAACAAAATTTTAAAATAATATTGATTTGGTCAAATTTTAAATGAAGACCCAAAACTGCCCTTATGTAAGGAGTTTTAATTTATTTCTCTATAGAATTATAAGATTATCAATTTAGATTCATAAGATAGAAAATAAAATGTTGAAATAATTGATTCAGAGTTTATGAAGTTTTTGAATAGTGGGATTATCATAATTTAGTAGCGATTTTGAACAATTTCTTTTGATTTATTGTTAATTTCAATACCAAAAAATAGAAAATAAAGATTAGCAAAAAAATTGAATTACGTATAAAGTTAACTCATCCAAAAAAAAATCACTAGTACAATATTTGATTACAATATAAATTAGAGATAATTGCAGTAATTTTACAATTTTATTGGCAAAAAATTAAAATAAAAAGGAATAAGAAGGAAAAAGAATGAAAAAAATAATTTTAAAGTCATTCTAAGTATAAGCATACCAAACACAAGGGAATTTTATTAAAATATTTAAGGGTAGTATTATCATTTTAAATAATAAGGGAGGTATGTGTAATTTTGCAAACCTCAAGGAAGCTCAGTGAAATTGTCAGAAATTTTAGGGGAGATTTCTGAAATTATCTCTTGAATTTGTAGTTCCAGCTAGGGGTGTGCATCGAATTCGAAATCGGTAATTCGGAAGTTTGAATTCGGAATATTTCGAAATTTTGGTATCTGATAATTCGACCGAATTCGATTTCGAATTCACCAATTCCGAATTCGAATTCATATCGAATTCAATTCAGAATTCGGTAAATTCCGATTTCACCGAATTCGGAAAAAATTATATATTATTATATAATATATAATTCATAATATAATATAATATAAATTTTATATAATATTATATTATATAAATTTTGTATTACATGTATTAAAAAATATATATATTAAAAACGAATTTGAAATTGAAATCGGAATTCGAATTCCGATTTAAAAAACTCTATTATCGAATTCGAACCAAATTTGAAATATATGAATTCGGAAAACCTAAATTCGATTCCGATTTTCGATTGACCGATTTCGAAAATTTCGAATTCAATTCGAATTTGATCGATAAATCGAAATTTTTCGATTTTGCACACTCCTAGTTCCAGTTGAGAGCCTTAACGATGACGTTTTGGTCTTTAAAGGTTGTTTTATAAACTCACACGGAAAGCTGGCTTAAGATAATGACAGGGACGGGCCGCATGAAATGCGATCCCAGGAGGAAGACTTGAATCGAATTTCCTTCATTTCTATTCTTTTTTGATAAGTGAATTTATATAGATCCCACGAATAATCAATTTAAAACAACTCACTCATACGATAAATGGATGTGAATTTATATGGTCATTCATCTCAAGTCATTAAATTTTGTTTAGTCATCCAAATTCATTTATGCTGGGTTTGTTTGGATCATTGGATGGATAAATGGATGTGAATTCATTTTGCTACCTCTAACTCTTCTTACCTTTGAAATGATTAGATGCCTGATTAATCTTTTTATACTGTTACGAAGTTACTACTATAATCTTCTCATTCAGCAGCTTCGTCATTGTTTTTTCCCTTTATCAGAAAGTGAAAGTTCATCAACTCTTTTATTTTTTGGATAAAATAGAGGTCAATATTATTAATAAATTAATTGCAGATCACTCGGCACGATTTATTTAACAAAAAATTTCTAATACATAGATCTCAAATAACTACTCCATTAGATATGAGAAAAAAAATAACAAAAAGTGAAAAAACTGAACAAAACTCACATTAGGATAGCTTATGAAGAAGAAAACACTCAGCAGTAAACGATGGGAGAGAGAAAACTCTCATTGGGGTAAGAATTTATTAAACATGAACCAAAAAAAAAAAAAAGAGAAAAGGAAGGAAGCCTTGGTTTGAGGGAAGGCTGAGAGTATAGAGGAAGAGACAGCCGGTGGGTAGAGCTCTTGATCTACTGAACGGTGAGCAGCAGAAGTTTATTTAGCAGCCGGTGGGTAGAGCTCTTGATCTACTGAACGGTGAGCAGCAGGAGTTTATTTAGCAGCGGCAGCAGCTGCCAGACGAGATTGAAAGAAGGCAACCAGATGCTGTCCCATGTAAGGAGGAGGGAAAATGGCAATTAGTTTGTCTTTTGGGGGAAGAAACTGGTTGATATCACTACAATTAACGTAGTTTTCAGCCCATTCCCAAAGCTTTGGGAAGTTGTCCTTGGTGAGGACATCTAATCCTAGAGCTTCTTGAATTGTCCTAAACCAAAATGCCATGAAATTGGCAACAATGTCCACCAGCCCAATGCTATCTCCACCAAAGAACTTCTTCCCCTGGAGTTCATCTTCGAGAAATTTCAGGACCTCACCAGCTTCTGCCTTGTCTTTGTCATATTGCTCGCCAACGCTCCAGAAGGTTTTGAAAAGGGCAGGCAAGCACTGCAATATTGCAAATACAAATGCATTCATACTGTGCGTATCGATTGAATATGAAGATGATGAAGTAAAGAATGCCGGCTAGTAGAAACTCGGTGATTAAAAGGTTCTTCAATATCTGAACTGTACCTTTTCTTCGACATAATTGGCCCAGAAACGTGCCTTGGCTTTCTCATGAGGGTTTTGGGGCAGGATTGGATTAGTCTTCCAGACCTCGTCAATATATTCAAGAATCACCAAAGACTCGGCAATGGGTTTGCCATTGTGAAGCAGCACAGGGATTTTTTTGTGCACAGGGTTGTATTGCAGAAGCTGAGGACTTTTGTTGGATGGATCTTCTGCTATGAAATCGTAGTGGACTCCTTTAAGTTTCAGGGCTATCTCCACTCTGCAACTAAATGGGCTTGCCGGATGACCGAACAACTTCACTTCTTCCATCTCGATCGACCGGCACCTAATTTGACTCTCCGTCCTTTTCTAGCTGTAGACTGCACCTGGAGTAACGTTCAATGCATTGTATAGGGGAAAGATTGTGAGAAGTTCCTTAGCGACCAAGGACAAGGAATTGCTAGTATTCTAGTAGTATTAATTTAATTGGCTGACCATCGCGATCTCATGAGTATCCGTCAACGGAAGGTGATGGCAAAATCCGGGGAACATTCAATGCATTATTATTGAAGGAAGGAGACATTTAGCATCCATTTTTTAAGTTGTCGAGTCATTATTGAATAGGTGGCAGCAGCCAGCCAAGACTGAAGAGAACAAGTCCCAAATCCATTTTATACTTGCACTTATTTTATCCGAAGCACATCTCTGACTCTGAGGGTGATATCATATTTTCTTCACCATTCGAGTCTGTAACATATATACACATTTAGGATTGGCATCCAAGCTGCAGGCGCAGCATTTGCTTAATGCATAAGCTGGCGAAAAGTCATGGCGGACTTCTAGAAGGTGCAGCCCCCCTTAAAAATTTGACGAGGCTAGATGCCTCATTAAGCTTAACATCAATTCTTAATTATTGAATAAGTTGATGATGTGGCTTCCCAATGGGTTTCGATCCACGTCAGTTTTTTTCCTCTTGGTTTGCCCTCTCCTTTTCTTGTTATCTCAAACCATGTCCGTTTCAGAGGTAACGTGACCCATGCAATGACCTCACCCTCCAAAACACAACACCCAAAAAAGAAAAAAGAAAAAAAAAAGGAAGCAATCTCCAGCTTACTTGATTGCCAATTCCATACGTTGATTTGTGGAGAGGCCCCATCCTGGGCTTATACACGTGACAACCCGGAAAGGCCGGAGCTGAGCTTGGACCCCAGGACCATAGGAGCCATCCTGAGGCACACCGCCGCTAGGGCTCCCCGGGGGTCCAGAGAACGATCCCGCAGAGGGCGGGAGGAATCCCCCTCAACGCGGGATTGAGGCTATACCGGAGATATCCCAAAACGTACGGAGGTCGGACTCTCGAGCAGGTATAAATAATAACGCACCCCAGCGGCATAAGATACGCTCATTATTGGCAAAACACTCCCAACAGTTTTACTTCCAGTAAATTCCCCTCACCGGAAAACTAACTTGACCGTCAGAGTGTCCTCGGGGACAACTTCGGAGCTCTCCTGTCAGTCACCCTAGAATCCACTTTCAGTTTGTTTTGCATGATTGGGACACGCTCTCCTCATCAACACGCCGAGCTCATTAGGTCAGCTCGGTCCGAAGAAGCTCAACGCTTCTTCAATTTGCATCATATCTTTTACTTGGTTGCCAATTCTATACGTTGATATGTATAGCTGGAGATGTTGGTCTGATGAACTATTTCTCTGCATCAAAGGAATTAATTACTCTTTGGTGAGCTTTGACATGTTCGAGTTTGAAACTTGTGCAGCTTTACCAAAAGATATACTATTCCTTTAGTAAAACTAATCCTCCAATCGGTGGAGGTGGCCTGTCTCTGAATTTTGGTCAATCGTTTCTCCTGAAAGAGACACCTTCAGCGTCCGTCATCTTCCTTCATTATAAAAAATTTTTGGAGGTTCAATTGAGCAGGCCCAGACCACTCAAATTTTACTGGGCTCGGTCTGTCTTTGATTTAATTATCAGTTGGGCCCTCAAGTTACTCATAACATTTTACGACTACAAAGGAATAGCTATTAGTGCAATTCGGCTAGGCCCTTCCAGTAGATCCCAGACACGGAGAGAGACACAAAGGGCAAAAAAAAAAAAAAAAAGTCGGAAATTCAGAAAAGAAGCGAGATTTCACCATCAGAAAATGAATTTCAAACTAAAAAGCATGCACGTAATTTTTTTTCTCTACCAAAAGATACTAAAAAAAAAAAAAAAGAGGCAAAATTCTACAGAATTGTGATAAATGTGCTGCAATGTTACTTTAATAAGGGTTTCTCTTTAGGCAGGGAATAAAGAGAGCCTACTTTTGAGCTTTAACAACGTTATGAATACGATTTTGTCTTTGGCGTGGCGGTTGTTCAAAATCAACAATCAAATTTGGTTAGGTCATTACTGCTTGGACACTAGCCGTTACGGGGAACCATCTTTTGCATTCTGCGCTTTTCAGCATTAGTTCGAACCAACGCCACTAACCACAGACTCTACCGCATATAGGAAATCTATAGGAAACCTTACAAGTAAAGTCACCAAACATGTGGCACTTTAAAAAAAAAAAATTCTATTATAAAAAAGAGCTCAGATGGAGAAATCAATTTGAGGTTAATTGGCATACACATTGCGAATCTATGATTGTTTGGCTGGTAGAGGAAAAAATATATATATCAATAACAAGCAACGAAAAATTTGGCAGAATTTCACCTTAAAATTTGTCATTCTGTTCTTTTTTTTTTTTTTTTTTTTTTGTGTAAGAACCTCCATAATTCTTTTAAGATCCATAATTTCACAACGCGGACGCTGGGAATATGTTTTCACCGACAATTTAGTTGATTTCAAACTTCCGTTACTCCAAAATTCTAAATCACGCCCAGTGTTACACAGATCAAGCTTAATAAAGTAGGCAATTGATTGATTTGGAGAGCACTATGGTGGGGAAGGGAGTCTTAGGTTGTGTTTGGATTGCAGATTTTAGTTGTGCGGGAGGCGATTTGATATATGTGAGATAATCGCTACAGTAATTCTCACATATATCAAATCGCTACAGTAATTTTTTTTTTTACAAAAAGTTCAGAAAAATGCAATACAAAGTGCCAAAATGTATGATGCAATGATGAGAGAGTGCTATAGATATTCATTTGTCTAAAGCATACCATACAAGTTTTTGGGACGTGATGGCCTCATTAATAAGCATCAGCATATATGTTTCCTACACTCTCCACCGTTATTAGGGAGGTTAATGACTAAGGAGTGAAGGTCGGGGGTTTTTTGTTCCTTCCTTCAAATGTGGCTTTCACTGACCAATTTGACCTGACCTAGCCTGAACAACATTAACCCGTAGGGCATTGGGTTCCCACAACCGCTTCAAATGTTCATAGAATACAAGAAGATGAAGCTTTCTTCCTGGTTTTCGGAGCCTCCCTAATCAGTCGCATAGAACTGCATTTCCTGCAAAAAAAGAAAGAAGAAAAGGGGAACGACGGAGCTATCAGCTAGGGTGTTAAAAGGCCAACATGGCACCAAGCTTTCACCTGTCTCCTTGTTCCCTCATTAGGTGTCTTTGCTCAAATCTTTACTTGCTGTTCTGTTTTGACTCCATCTGGAGACAACTCCAAAGTGGCCCAAAGCAATAAGGCAAAACTCGGAGGTTCATAATAGTTTATCTTTGTGCGCCACTTCTCTACCTACGTGCTACTGGAGGATATAATGACAATATGAAAAGAATCAATTCAATTGCTCTCATTCAACAACGAAAGCCCAGTAGTTTTTTCTCCCTATAATTTCCTTGCCTTGATTATGTGGAATTTGCTTCTCCATTTAGTCTTAGAAAGTAGTAGTAACAGCTCAGTTCCTCAACTGCAAATGTGGATTGTAAAATTAGTGATTGCCTGATCTAAGTCCTCAAAATTTTTGCAGCACAACACTTGTCTTTAGGCTCAAACAAACAAAGGTTTTTGTCCTCTGCGCCTTTAAATACAGAATAAGCACACCAAAAATAGAAGATGCCATGGAGAAATACCTTTTATTTCATGCTCTCTCTCTCTCTCTCTCGCAGAAATTAGCACAAAGTAATTAATGAAGCCACCGATACAAGTGATGTATACAAAAATGAACGCGTTTATCCTGTGCCTAACAGTTGAGAATGGAAGGGTGTGGAAAGGAGTTGGCGGAAAAATATTTTTAAAAAAAAGTGTTTAGCATTATTGATGTATACAAAAATACAAGTTAGTAGGATACGTTTAGTACATCTTGGGATAATTTTAGAAACCTCCCATTAGGTTTTTGACATGATTTCAAAAGTTCACCTCGCCTATAATAACAGTTAATTTAATCATTCGTTCTAACCTATTTGGATTGTTATTTTTTCAAGGTTTTTTTTTTTAAAAAAAAATACGCTGTAGTGATTTAATAAATGTAAGGTAGAAAAATGATTGAGAAATTTGTTCACGAAAAAAGTCAAAATATTTTTCGTAGAAAACTACAATCCATATTATTTCACTTATAGCGTCATTATTAGACATGATTAATAAAAAATTTTCATCATTTGCAATAAAAAAGTAACAACTTTTGAAATTTAATAAAACAAAAATATTTTTATTACTTTAAGATTCTTATTATCAGGTACTAAGAAGAAACACCAGAATCGAAATCTCCTCGTGTCCAATTTCTTTTAATTGTCAAGTACATGAAAAAGCTAGTACAGTATTGGAGTCCTTTTCTAATGCCAAATTAAATTGTCTAATATAATCAAATAACGGTTAAATTAGTTTGTAAACGACTCAATTATTTTTCATGTCTGAATCCTTTTATTTATCAAGTACATCATTTATAACTACTTTTGTCTGTCTAGTACATTAATACCCAGTAGTTCCCTTTTTATATAACAAATTAGTTGTTTTTTAAAATTCTAAATTATGCTTAATTTAATTAGCAAACTTTTTGATTATTTCCCTCCACAAATATGTGTGAAAAATCTTAAGTTGTAAGGATAGTAGAGTCCTTTCATCCCTAATGATGTAAGTATTGAGTATCAAATTGATGACACAAAAAGGTTAGTGATATTTTCAAAACTTCAAGAGCGATAGTTGAAATTGTGAGAAACTTCAATAAAGGTTTCTGAAATTATCCCATGTAATTAAGCATGAATGAAGTGGACCTGGACCTATCTAGGTTGATCCGTCCCTTAGAAGTATCCATTGACCTTTGTGATGATATTTGTTGCAACCAACTTGTAATCAGTAGTCTCCTAAATGGCGACGCATTTGTCATAATTGTGTTAAGAGTTGTCATAATTGTGTTAAGAGCCGTTGTCTAAGCAAAAGCCAATGTGGAGAAAGTGACAGAGATGCTCCTGATTTAAGCAAAGTTTAGTGCTTTTTAAGCCCACAGTGGCTCGTTAGACACTTGCCCCTTCTTTGCCCTTCCGATTCTTTCTTGCTCTGCTTGGTTGCTTGCTTGCTTGCCTGCTTCTGGAGGCATTTGTTTTGGTTCGCATCATTTAAATACTTCTTTCCCTGTTACTACCATATATCATGCGCTTCGACCCTTTGACAGCGAGAAAGAGCAGCCTCCTGCTATAATCATTGCCAACTTCACTCCTCTACTCAAGACTCATCCCCACAC